AGGAAAGGGAGAATAGAAATAGGGCGAAAATCATTTAGGTTAGTGGGATTATTAAGCTTCGGGATAGGAATAATAAAAGCTTTTTTCCAGACGAGAGGAAACTCTCCTGTTTCTATAGAAAAGTTGAGGATATGGGTTAATATAGGAGCTATAGAATCAAGAACGGGAAGAATCATAGTACGGCCAACACTATCAACGCCTAAGGCATTAGAAGTAACTGACGTGACCTTTCTCTTAACATCTACAACTGAAAAAGGAGTGAAGCAAAACTGAGGATAATTTGGAGTAGAAAGTGAAGAAAGAAAATTAAGTGTATCCGTTTTTATTGCTGGATCAAATACACTCGTAGGTGAGGAAAAGTGGCGATTAAGAGCATCAAGATCAATATTAGAGGATACGGAAGCAGAACGAGATTTACCGATTCCCAAAGAGTTCAGAAACTTCCAAGTTTCAGGACTATTCCCATGTTCTACTGATTTATAAAAGAATTGCTTCTGTGCGTCCCTGCATCTTCTGTTGCATGCGTTCCGGATAGCTTTGTATTTATTTCGATTGGCTTCGCTATTGTTCGACTTAAACTTGGCCTTGGCACAATTCTTCTTATGAATAAGGGTTTTCAGCTCATCACTTAACCAGGGAGAGGGGCTATGTTTTATTTTAACTGGTCTTATGGGGGCATGTTTATTAAACAGCTTATTAATAATATCATTGAAATTATTAACTTTGGAATCAATAGTATTAGCTGTTAATACAAGCCTCCAGTCAACTGTGCGAGCATCATTGGTTAGGTGAGCAACATCCATGGTTCTAAAGTTCCGCTGTAAAATAATTTTATGCTTTCTCTTAGGCGGGCGAATAAAGTACGAAAGAAACAAGAGATCGTGAAAAGAAAATGAATCAGCCGACAGTTGTCCATGTTTTGCAACATGGGCTGTTGAGGATACAATAATGAGATCGAGTAGAGATGGCGAAGAGCCTGGAAAAAAATGAGTAGCTTGAAGCGGAAGTATATTAAGATTCAAGGATGTTATAATAGAGTTAAGTTTTCTACTACGAGAATCATTTTTAAGAAGGCACGTATTAAAGTCTCCCATGATGATTGAGTGGTTATAAAGTGGACAAAAGTCTTCTAAAGTTTTTTCAAAAGTAGAAAAGTAGTTTACGTGCAATGAAGGTGAGTAGAAAACTCCTAGGAGCAGTTTATTAGAGGACAGGGTAATTTCAATTAAAAGATGCTCTGCAGCATCAATCGGCGGGGGTTGGGGAGAAGTACTGAGCAACTTAAAGTTGATATCTGAACGCAAGTAAACGGCCACACCACCGCCGACGCGGCCAACACGATCATTCCGCAAAAGGTTAAAGCCAGGAAGGAAATACATGGAAGTAGATAAGCAAGGTTTAAGCCAGGATTCGGAGACAAGAATAGCATGAACTGGACAGGTGGAGAAGGACGCCACTAAGTCGGTATAGTGAGCAGGTATACTCTGCGCATTAATGTGCACAACGTTGAAATTTTTGTGAAAATTAGAGAAAGTAGAAGTCAATAGGTTATCCAGCCGTGAGGTTTGAGCATCATCGTGGTTAGAATCACTACTATATGAGGTCGATGTAGAATCATTTAAAACGGTAACATTAGTTTGTAACATTAAGCTGTGTTGTAAAAAAAAATTAAATTATACAATAAAGAAAATAAAGTTGACCTATTGATATATACTAATGCAACTATTGAACCTATCCTACTTAAACTAGTAAAAACAAAGAATGCCTCATATTTATATTTACGATTTATATAACTAGTATCACTGTGCTGAAGGATAGGTATACAGCTTAATGCTATTGCTTTAAAGCTTTGGAAAAACACAAAAGACTTAAATATAATCCTGTATAACCTACATAGACATTTAGCAAAGCACAGTAGTAATTTACAGTTATTACTGTACATAATATGTTCCCCTTGACTAGACTTTACATTATGTACCCGGCCAATTGCAACATCAAGCGATTGAATGACTACAACTCCAGGCAATACAATGATAACTTTAACGAAGACTAAACGTAAATATCCATAGAGAACACTATATAACTTAATATTATATTTTTCTAAGAATAACAATGCTAATGAATATAAAATCATAACTAAGTTTAAATTATTAATGAGCCATAGAAATTTCCAGAATAAATTTCGACCACAATTAGAAATAATTTTTACTCGAGAACACAAACTATTTACTGATACAATTATAAGTAAGAACACGCTGTCGTTAATAATTGCTAGTCGCATTTTGTCAGGCGTATTTTTACAACTTTTGCAAAAACAATGCAACGTAAGCACAACGTCCGCGATAAAAATAAGTGTCCAAGCATAATTATTCACTATGAAACATGAAAGTTTTAAAAGTATTGACTCCCCGCACAGACTGAAAGTACTTACGATGCACAACGTTATATTATATAATAAATTGTTAAAGAATATAGTTGTAAGACTTACAAGAATTACAAAACATTCTGTTATTATCGAACGCTTACACAACCAAAACAGCTCCACCAGCTCAACAGTATTAAACAGTATTTTACTAAGATTGATAAATTTAATAATAATAGAAATCAAAACGCGAAGAGCAAATACTAATTCCACTTCTACATGCCAGCACAATACAATTAGTAGAAATAAATAAAAATTTCCAAAATACAATAAAGGAACTCTAATCACTCTGGTCCTGAATCGAAACGGCACAGCCGAAAACCTCCTGCACATCACGTTCAGAGCTAATGTAAAATAATTTGGAATTGGGTTCGCGACGAGCATAGACCCGCCCACTGCGAGTCCACACATATCGCCAATTATTAGACTTAGCTTCCCGGCGGGCCATGAGAAAAAGCTGTCGATTTTCATGCGTGAGATGTTCATTCACATAGAACCGACTAGGCTCACCTACAATACCGGTCCCGGAAGTATCAGCTCCTCGCCGCACACGCGCTGCTTGAATGATCTCGTCCCGAAGCCGCTTGCGACTCAGCCTCACCACAACAATACGGGGGCGCACGGCTCCTTCGGTCGAAGTAAGTGATTTCTGTATACGGGGCCCGACGCGCTGTGCCATGACAATGTCTCGCTCTTCTAGTGTTATGCCAATTTTATTAGTCAAAGTTATTACGGTGTGCACAGGGTTTTCACCGCTGACCTCCGGCACGCCGGAGATAACCACGTCGTTAATAAGACGGAGTTGCTCAGATTCGTTTAGCCGTTTTTGTAATACCGCCACTGAGTCTACGACCTCAGGCATACGTGCCTTCTCCTGCATCTGCGATTCCAGAGAAGCAATACGTTCTTCAAAGTTGTCAAGTCTTCCATTTATAGCCTTGACGAGATTATATATTTCTTCTCTAAACCCTGACAGTTCAGACCTTAGGAGTTGTAATTGTTGCTCGACAGGATCAGGCGTTCGTTCATCCACGGGGGACTGCGCCGTAGGGTCACTGGACTTCACTTTCTTAGTCTTACAATCTCCACAATGCCACTTCGGATTATTGCGGGCCTCCGGACTGAGACATTGTTTATGAAATGGCACACTACATTTCGAACACTTAATCCCATCACCGATTATGCTGAAGAACTTTCCACATTTTAATATGCACTTATTAGACATTTTTATTCTTACTCAAAATGGGAGGTAGGCGATTATTTTTACTAATATATAAAGCTGTAGAGTTTGTTTGTTTGAACGCGCTAATCTCCGAAACTACTAGTTCTAATTGAAAGCTTATATTTGTGTTGGCTAGAGAATTTATCGAGAAAGGCTATAGGTTAATAAAACATTGGGCTAATTAATAGGAACGAAAGAACAGCAGGAAATGTGAAAAATATATAAAATAATCTAATCAAATTTAAACTATCGTTTCATATTGAAAATTATTGTTTCAAAATGCGCATCACAAATGATATCGGATTTAGGACTAATTTTCGCAATGCTGTTATCATAATCTCTTGTTTCTGCAAACATATGAAACAGTTAAACCTTATTTATATTAGTCATAAGATTCATTTTAGCTTAAATTTCGTTACAAGCTTTGTAATTGAGAAGCTGGATTATTATTGTGTGTATGTTCAGAATAATTCCTACCTATGTATTTAGACTTATTTATATTAGAATATAATATTTACAAAAACACTTTAACCTACCTATCATATAATTTTACAATAATTAAGATAAAATTGTGTATACGTTAAATACTGTCTAGTTTACGCGAGTACACATTTAAATAAAATACTTTAACGGTTTTAAACGCGATATATTTTAGTCTAACTTTTTTGACAGTCTTCCCGTGACCACGGCTGCTGCAAAGCATCCAAAACGTCGGGCCGTAGTTAAAATTACTAATAAACTAATTCTCAAAAAAGTTTAACTAAAATATATCGCGTTTTAAATCCTTAAAGTGTTTTATTTAAATGTGTACTACTCGCGTAAACTACAGATAGTATTTAATGTATATACTATTTTATTTTAATAATAGTTACATTAAATGATACGTAGGTTACGCCGTCGCCATGACAATTGTAAAGTATTCTAACGGATTACGAATTACATTTATAACGAGATAGATGATAAAGAAGGACAGACAAGCATAAGATTCTCTTAATAAATTCGATCTAAAAATATACAAAACAGTTCTCTCACCATCTGACGTGGTTTGTATTCAGGAGGATCTGAAGAGATTCGTTGATTACTGCCAACATAATAACCAATATTTGAACTATACTAAGTGCAATCATATTATATTTACTAGAAATAAAAATAAAGCGACTCTAAACTTACTCTTTACTACTGTGGACGGTACTAGTCGATTCAGATCCAGAGAAAAATTGAATCATATTAGACCCAGTGGGGATATAACCCACGACCCGTGAAATTCGTTATACAGAAAAGCGCCATTCATATAATATATACTACAAAATATGAATATTACTTATATTTAATTTAAACACATGCTTTTTTTTGTAGTACAAGGATCTATGGAAGGATAAGATTGCAGTCAGCGAGAAACAAGAACCCATGACATTCCAGAAGCAGCTGTCATCTGCGTTCCACAACATCCGGCCGATGTTTCAGAAGCCACTTGTGTGGTACCTTGTTCTGTTTTGCATACTGAATTTCATCTCCATGAAAATGTGAGTAACTAGATTTTACCTAGGGGTTGCTACAATACTGAGATTATGATATTATTAATATAATATAATGTTATATATCTCCTACACATATATAAAAGGCATATACTATTCAATACAATCTAATTCATAAATTTAAATAACGGGCTCCTTGGTTTAAACTCTAATGGCCACAATGTATAAAAAATTAACAACGGTTCGTGTTTATTTTTTATGCATTTTATACTAAAATTTTTTTTTACACATTTGAAAACCTAAATACTGTCTGTAGTTTACTAGAGTAGTACACATTTAAATAAAACACTAACGAATTAAAACTCGGTATATTAGTTAACCTTATTTGAAAATGATTTTTATTAATAAATATTTAAATGTATGAAGTTTACGCGATTAGTACACAAACTCAAACAAATACACAGAACAAAATATATCATGTGTTTTAAACAGTTAAAGTATTTAATTTAAATAAATATTTATATACTGTCTATAGTTTACGCGAGTAGTACACATTTAAATAAAACACTTTAACGGTTTAAAACGTGATATATTAGTTAAACTTATTTGAAAATGATTTTTAACTTCGGCCCGACGTTTCGGATGCTTTGCAGTAGCCGTGGTCACGGGGAGACTAAAGATGGAGGATTTCTCTGACGTCAAAGTAAAAAATTGCTACGCTAGCGCCATCTGTTCCGTCGAAGTTGGTATTTGGCGAAACTGGCCGGGTCCTTACAGAATTGACTAACGGTGTCTTCGCGTTTGCTGGTATGCTGTTTATTGGGATCCCGAGTTTTTAATATTGGATCCCAGGTGTTCGATAGTTTGAGGCCGTCCTCCCTATTGAAATTTCGGTGTTTTTTGATTTCAATTGCTTCGCTCACCAATTTTGGAAAAAATCGACTCTCCGTCGGGCCGAAGTTAAAAATCATTTTCAAATAAGTTTAACTAATAATCGCGTTTTAAACAGTTAAAGTGTTTAATTTAAATAAATATTTATTCTAAAACGATCATGTAAGATTTAAACTTAATAGTGAAAAAAAAAATTACGACACTGATTTGTAATTGTAATAAGTAGTAAATATAATGAAATTTCGTCCGGCTTACGAACCACTATCCAGTAAGAAATGGCGTGAAGTATTTAGAAAGACGTTCCGATTTATGTCAAAATAAGCCGACAGCGCATCTTGTTTAGACCTCTTATGGCTACCACACCTTACATGAACTGAACTTCACGCATGCTGGTTCTCTTCTATCATAAAAATAGCGATTAAAACTATGAATCTAATGATTCCGAAACCATTTATTTCTGCCGTTCGCAAATGATGTTATAACGATTCGGGATAACAAAGGGTTTGTTATAAATTATGCACATTTGGGACAAACCGCGCGGTTTAAACTCAAATTACTGGTGATAAATCGGAAACGCGGTCAATGCACTTTTATTCGTACATTTGCAAACTGTTTTTACTAAAGCTTACGTTCATTTCGATGCAATTCTGTAAGTACTTATATAGAAAAAGAAATCATTTGCGTTACTTAGTATTTTCATGTTTTCTATGTACTCAAAATTTAAAACGTTTGTTTATTTGAACGCGCATATCTCAGGAACTACTGATTTTGTGATAGTTAGAACATTTATCATGAAAAGATTTAGGCTATAAAACATTACGCTGCAATAAATAGTAGCCAATAAACAGTGGAAAATGTGCAACATTTGGGGAACATTATTCGTCTTTGACAGTTTCCGTTGCGTGTGCTGCAAAAAGTTTCAAGTTGCATTAAACACTTGTATAAAACAATCATTCCTCTTCAAATAAACTAAGAAAATGTTGGTGACAGTATATGTTTTGTGTGACGTCCTGGGTAACAGCTAGAATTTATAAAATTGAGGAGAAGGTTTACAAAAACAATTTTGTGTGCCCAAATTAACTATTCTACGCAAACGAAGTCGCTGACACAGCTAGTAAAAGTAGTAGTATAAGTGTCTCATCACACTCGCGACGATTAGCCAACGTTTGAATCCCAGTATAGTAATTTTTGTTGGGAAAAGACATAAGCGTAATTAATAACTTATTTACGTTTGCACTTTCTTATGTTATAGCATTGTATAATACAATTTTAAATTAAGCTTTCTATAATTTAAGTAATGTAACTGTTTTTATCGTTAAAAAAAGTATACAAATATAAAGTCTAGCTGACCCACCAAACATTGTTTTACCATATAAATTAAATTTACAGATTCTTTTGGGTAAAAAAGTTTTAAAATGATTGTGAGTGTGGGAGGATGTAATATATGAGTGAAAAAACCATCAATAAATATAATGAATGGAGTATAATGAATGGATACACAAAATTTCATTAAAATCGGTTGAGCCTTTTTGTTGCAGTTCGCGCACAAAACATAATAGGATAACTTAATATAATTAAAAGTTACAGGAACGTCTTGTAAATTCAGATTACCATTTCGAAGTTTGAAAGCGATGTCTACATATGTTTATGATCGCATAACGAAGTAACAATTTAAAATCTTATCAATTAACATATCCTACAGATACACAGTACTAAGAACATGGTTCCCTCAACTATCGACCATCGTTGAACATTATTCTAACGAAACAAGCGATCTATGTGTCATGATTGATTCGTATACTCGAGATCTGAAAGTATCTGTGCCCGAAACGAACGGACAAAATTGTATTGAAGTGAGTATTTTCATTGCATCATTAATAAAATAACTTTGGGTTTCGGCGAAGTATAAAATAGAAAAGTGTTATTTTAAAATGATTTAAATAAAATACTTTTAAACGGTTTAAATCAAAATATATGAGTTAAACTTAGCAATAGATTATTTTAACTAGGGTCCGACGTTTCGGATAGCTTCTAATAGCAGGGTGCATCCGAAACGTCGGGACGTAGTTGAACTAATTTGTAAATAAGTTTTACTACTATATTTCGCGTTTTAAACCGTTAAACAACGTTTTATATAAGATGAGAATTTTAGACTTTTAAGACTTACAGAAAAAAGAATGGACATATTTTTGTCGCTCAAATACGTACAAATATTAATCTTAATTCGCGTAGCACGTCGTAGAAGGATTCGTAGACTCGTAGAGCTGGTCTACGCTCGTGCTACGATGATGTTTCAGATAGCAGCGTTTTACAATAATCGATCTTATTTAGGTAATAAATTATTGAGATAAGTCAGAGTTTTTTTTTATAACACTTCACTTTTTTTTTTCAGGCACGAAGCGGTACAGAAACCTACATCAACAGCGTCATACTAGGTTCCATCTGCTTCATTCCACCTATCGTCAGCAGTTTCCTTGTTAAAAAAGTGGGAAAGAGAAATCTATACATTGTCTGTGGTTTTTTGACTATGGCATTGACGTTAGCTGTCCGGTGGTCCAACTCGAAGATATCTATGGTTGCACTCTTCTCTACAGATGTCGCCATATCTACTTTGATGGCAAGTTTAACACAGACCATGGTGTTGGAGTACTTCCCTACAACTACAAGGTGAGAATTTCTTCTTAACAAAATGGCTAACTAATTGTTTCATATTCTGCCTTTTTTACATCACGTTCTATTTAGTGAATACGGTAGCTCAATTGGTTAGAGCACGGAACGCTGTGGGTGCCACTTCAAGTCCTACCCGTATCGTAAATTATTTCAAATTAAAATCAATTTTTAATCTATAAGTATTGTAGTTTAAACGAGTGGTATACTTTTAAATGAAACACTTCTAACACTAAAACTCGACATATATATTACAAAGTTGCTGCAAAGCATCTGAAACGTTAGGTCGTAGTTAAAATTGATTATAAATAATTTAAGAAATTTTTATTTTATATAAGTATTTTATTTAAATGCGAATAATATATAAAAAAACTAAATTTTAATTAATATACTTCTTAAATTTCGATGAAAATAAGTTTTACGATCTAAACATTTAAATAAAACATTTTTACGGTTTAAAACGCGATATATATTAGTTGAACTTATTTGAAAAATATTTTTATCTTCATGCCCGAAGTTTCAGATGCTTTACAGCAGCCGTGGTCTCTGAATATCGCGTTTTAAACCGTTGAAGTGTTTTATTAAAATCTGAACTACTCGCGTAAACTATAGACAGTATTTGATCTCAACATTTCTCATTACATTAACGATATTTCGTACCGCAATTTCAGGTAATACGAATCAAAATGTTTCTTTCTGATAGTAAATCCAATGTTTTTGTGAACAAAAGTCTCGAAGAGCTTTTGTCAAATGATATTTCTTTACAAAGCGTTCTTGAGACATCTGAAAGCTATTTAAATTGAGTTCAAAGCTAACGAGACCGAATTTAATTTGTGCTAAAAATATACAGCGCAATATGTTTTGTCCCGGAACTGGAAACACACGGAATGTTTATATATTTATATATTCTTTATTGCACAAAAAATAAAAATATTACAAATTAAACCTATATACTAGAATGGAGAGCAATGGGCGGCCTTATCGCTAACAAGCGATCTCTTCCAGGCAACCTAAAGTTATGAAATGTTAAGAAAATGAGATGTACAAGGTAGGCGAAACAAATTAATACAAACAATAAATAATCATAAACAAAAAAAAAAACACAGAACTTAAAATAAAAACATACAGATCTAAAAAGGTTACATGTTTAAACGAAGGGACTAAATATATTTAAAATAAATAGATAGTGACTTTACTCAGATGACAGGAAATGTTTATAAAGCAGCCGTTTAAATGATGGGAGAGAAGGAGCCATGCGTATGGAAACGGGTAAGGCTTTCCATAGTCTGATCGCAGTAATTTGAAAGGATTTACCTTGGAAATTGGAGCTGTGAGAAGGAACCTCAAGAATATGACGGTCCGATGATCGTAAACTATAACTACCATAGGGACCCAAATATTTAAAATTAGATTTAAGATAAGGGGGAGAATTAGGGGCGAAGAGAATAGAGTATAGGAGCTGAAGAACATGTTTTAATACCCATTTAAGACAATACGTAGTTTAAAATTAAATATTATTTACGTGTTATTTCACTTTATGTACATTTGAACGTCTATTTTAAATAAAAAAACTAGACTACACTGTCGGGACTTACCATCTTTAACAAATTATTTAGCTGCCAAGCATAAGATTGAACCACAATACGTAAGAGTTAAGGTTGAAATTACATTGACGGGTGTTAAGAGTTGAAAAATTGTGCCTCATTGTCGGACATTGTAGTTCAAATGGTTAAAGCAACAGTACCCAACGACGTGGATGTCGGGTCACGTATTTTGAGGAATGCGTGCGTAGTTGTTAAGAATATCCCGAACCAGGACTAACGTAGATAATGCTTTGCCGAATGTGTTGTAAGACTATAAACTATTGCTGATAACTAGACATCAATAACAAAGGCCTTCTATGATAGTGAATGACAGTCAAGTGTCGGGTTCACTTCAAAGTTCAAGTCAAGATGCAATGTCAACTTATTCTGACTTTGGCTATTCGAAATCCATCTGTGGACCGAACTTCATCACGTTTTAGTCTGCTAAAACGTGATGAAGTTCGGTAGTTCGTGATCCGGACGAAATTTCTATATTCCCACTAATCATTTAATATCACGATTTAAAGGCGACGCCCTACGTGTTTTAAAAAAATATAATAGAACTAGCTGGTGCCCGCGGCTTCGTCTTCGCAGGATTAGGATTACGTAGTATCGCGCATTTAAACTAAATGATGTCTATCATGTCATATATACATAATTATGTGTAACTTTTATGGCAGCGCACGCCAGAATGGCTCGCAGAAAGGTTAGGTTTTTCCTAGTTACTTAACACTTAATGTCATATTTTGGGCAGCTTACACAATATCTTTATATATTGTCTATGAGCCCATAGGCTATTCTGATGTATAAGCTATATTATTGGAAAGTTTAATTGAAATCCATTCAGTAGTTTTTGCGTGAAAGCGTAACAAACATCCATCCACACATACAAACTTTCACGTTTATAATATTAGTAGGATAGAATAGAATAGAAGGCGTTTATTCGGAAACAACACAAGACAATTAACAAACACAATTTAAAAATCATTACATATAAAACAATTTTAAAAAATATTTGCTTCCGAAAAGGAGTCCAGCTACGTTGAGACTAAAGTCCCAACACTGATATTCTGTGGCCCCTTCAGAGGTATAAATTCATGAGAAACATGTTGGAACCCACGACCAGGTGTTTAGCTAGATATTGCTACCATTATACCAATAATCTCAGTTCAACAGCAGCTGGCTTAAAACCAATCTAGAGCCACAAATATCGAAATGCTTTTAGTATTTCGGGGCCCGTTAAATCTTGTAACTGTAACCTATGTCTATCGTCATTTTTATAGACGAAAGCTTGCGATACTTTTGCGTAAGCCTGAATACGTTTGGGATTTCAATCTAGTTTCGTAAAAGGTTTTCAACAAAATCAACGGCGGAAACGTAATTAAAACGTCGGAAAATGGATTTCATTTTTTTCAGAAATGTATTTTTTTTTTCATACTTTACTTTAATTAATGCGATGCGGTTGACATATTTTAATATACAATTATGTTTTATGGGTATTGAAATGTTCGTAGCTACGCTTGTGTCGTTTAAAAATAATGTTTATTTTTAACATTCCGCGGTGTTAATGTTTGTGACACTAGATAATATAAATGTCGAATTTGACGTAAAAACTTAGTTTAGCACTATTAATAATAATAACTAACCTTATTTGGAACTAGAAAGGAATAATAAATAAGCAGCAGATATTTCACTGAATTTAAGTACTGAAATTTAGAATGTATGTGCGTCTGTTAAGCAGCGCAAATATCAACGATAACTATTTCATAATAGTTTCTACTTTTTTTAGCAGTGAGCAACTAAGATCAATCAAATTTTAAAACGTTGCATTTTAGAAAACATTCTTAATAAAAAAAAAACTAAAGTTGTTAATATCCAAAAAAAACATCTTAACCAGTTCAATAAATGAAATATATACACACGCTTTATTTTTAATTTTCTACCGTTAAAACAACTATATGTTTCGCGTTAACGATTAACACTTTACATCAAAATAAAGTGATAAAAATTCAAGTTAGATAAAATATTATCCGGAAAACTGCTTAGCTAATAATTAATTTTTACGCGACGGTTTGATTAATGATTACTTGAAACACGAAAGATTCCTATCGTTTTGATTAATTAATAAAAAGTTAGCGAAGGTTTTAAGCTAACTATATATTTATATTTTCATTAGATAATATAAAAAAGCTTTTATAAGTAACTCTATTATTGTTATCGTGTTATTGCACATCATGGCATTATATTCATTTAAAATCTGGTTAGGTTGAAAAATAATCATTTTCCCGGGATTCGAACCTAGAATATCGCAATGTTATGCATCGCGTTTAACCATTTAGCAACAGATGACAACAAAGGTGGGTTATTGTATGTTAAATGACAGGCTCTTTGGTGTATGTAAAGTAGTCCAATGTATAGCTAATAATCCACGAATCGTGGGTTTGATTCCCACCGGGTGATAACAATTTAGATTTTTTTTGAAACAAGTTGGATATGGTCTGGTGGTAAGAATATCTTTATTCCGTCCGAGTCACGAACCACCGTCCATAAGTGAAAAATCTGTTAAGTATAAGCGCGTTTCTGTTTTAGTCTGTGTGATTTCTCAATATCCAAACCCAAAGAAAGGGCGACAACACATCTTGTTTAGCTGTTATATGGCTCCATGCTTTTCTTTCATCTAGTATGATAAATAAAATGTTCGTATATGTTAAAATATGTATGTTTCGTTTCAGATCACTAGCAATGGCTGTGGTTATGACTCTAGGGCGAACTGGGAGTGTTTCAGGGAACATTTTATTCCCTATACTCTTGGATATGGGTTGTGCCGTTCCATTTTTTACTTTAGCAGCCATCGTTGGAGGTAACATACTTCAAATATATAAATTGAATGAATATGAAGAAACAGTTATTTAAATAGAAGAGTGTTAACGGTTTGAACCGCGATATATTGTTTATCTATTTTTAAATGTCTACAACCCGACACTTGCAGCAGCCGTAATCACGGAAGGATCGTGTTTTAAACCGTTGAACGTGTCATATTGAGTTAAGCTACAGATTATACTTAGTCAATAGTAATATTAGAATATACACATATTTGGACTTAGATATATTTATGTAGTACATAATATTATTTTAACAGTCTTTTATCTTATTACCATAAAAATTATAATTCCATTATAAAGAAATTAATTCATAGCATTATTTGTTTATCCTGAGTGATAAAGGCAAATTTTCGTCATAACTCTATAACAAAATATTATCAGTATCAAGTAGTCCAGACGTTTTGACATAACCGAATTACAAACATACAAACAACCAATAATTTATTATATACCGTCTGTAGTTTACGCGACTAGTAGACATTTAAATAAAACAGTTTAACAGTTTTAAAACGCGATATATATTAGTTAATATTATTAGAAAACTATTTTATCTACGGCCCGACGTTTCGGTAGCTTTCCAGTAGGAGAGGAGCCTCTCCGTGACCACGGCAAGTTTATTATATGTCAAAAATAAAATAACTAATGACAGTTACTTGTTCACAGTTACAACACTGTTGGCGTTTTTGATCTCACCGAAAAAGGAATAAGTTTTTTCTATGTGTTTATTTAAAATGTATTTATTGATTGTAAAATAAATAATTTATCTGACTTTTTACAAACACTAGTTAGGTTACAAACACAAAGGTTATTTTATTGTTATTAAATTTACAGTAAGGTAGGTTACATTATCCCATACTAAGGAAAGTGTTGTTACTTGTGTCACTCAAGACTCTGAGAGCTGTGTAACTCTCAGAGAGTTCCCAGAACCTTTAATATAAACGACAAGGGATGGTAGAACCATGAGAAGAAATATTAATCTAACATCGAGTTAAGTCTTGTTTAAAAAATATAAATTAACTTATCATTGTCTTTCGGGTTGTTCGGCCGATGTGAGCGAGAAGAGGTTCTTGACGTTTCGCCATCACGTGTGGATGGCATCATCAGGAGATGTTGATTCCTCGATTGCTCGAAGAATTATAGATAATTCTTCGAGCAAACAGCCCGAAAGACAATGATATGCTGAACGATGGCCGTGAAAGCCTTACACAATTTATAAATTAACTTTTTAAAAAGTCTTTTGGACTCGTCACAGTTTGACTCTGTTGTTTTAGTAAATATTTAGTTACTATAATATTTAAAATTGTAATGTAACTTGATTCTTATAAGTTTTAATTGTAATCACAATGTCTATTAGATTTAGAATGGGTTTTGTAAATTATTATTAACTTTTTTTATGTCTCACAAAATGAAGTGTTAAAGAGAAAAATGATTACACAACAAAACAAAAATTACTGGTTGAGAAATCTCCTGTTTTTTAAGTTGGTTAATGGTATAACTTCTACGTAATTTTTATTCTTCTATTTTGTAATATGTATTTACAACATACGATAAGCCAAAATACATACACGACGATATTTTTAATTGTGCAATATGAAAAATGTAAGCTAGATTATAAAGCAATCACATAAAAATCTAAACTAAAATTAGTTTGTAAATGTATGTATATTGTGTATTATTTTATCACTATTAAATAATCATTTTTAACCGGTTCAAACGATATCTATACTAGTAATAAATTTGACCTACTTTTCAGCATGTAACATAACCTAATAGTATAATAAAATTCTCGTTTAAATCCGTTTAAAGTTGTGCAATATGAAAGTATACCATTAGTGAAAAACTACAGTTTAAACAATTATTTCTTTAAACAATATATAATTGTTATAATATATAGCAAATATATAACTAACATATTAAATATTTAAAAGTGATGTAAACAAGTAAAATAAAATTATCAGCCATATAATTACTCAACAAAGGTAATATTTGCATACAAGAGGAAACGGCGCTTTGATAAAAATTATCTAAAGCTAATAACGAGGGAACCAGTTAGACTGGTCCACCTCTTTTGTCGTTGTGAATGAGTTTTTTACGGCTTATGACACACTCGGGGATCAGATAAAGTTGGTTTTTCTCTCAAGGCCTGGTGATAATAACTGGCATAGTTTGAAACAGTAGCACTCTCAAATAGAAAAGCGAAGCCGTGCGAGATATTAATATTTAAATATAAGAAATTCTATATGTGTGAAATATGGTGGAACTGACTGCGGGTAAGTTGACTTTTATTATTCTCGGTAAAAAAAGAATCAACTACATCAAATACTGTAGTTTACTCAAGTACACATTTAAATAAAACACTTTAACGGTTTAAAACTCGAAACAACGTGTGGAAGACGTCTCCTCGTGACGGCAGCTGCTGTAAAACATCGGGGAGTAGTTTAATTTACAAATAAGTTTAACTAGTATATCGTCCCGTTTTAAAACCGTTAAAGTGCTACTAGCACATCTTGCTTAGATTATTATCTCCCATTCGAAAAAATAATAAACTCATGACAACAATTTTAGGGAAAGTAATGTCGTAACAAATATTTAGCAATTAGTTAATTTTATGCCCTTAATTTCTTATGAAATTTAATTTTTATTCGGTATTGGAAGAACGGTACATACACACGACCTCAATTTACCATGCGGTTTGAATATCCCGAATACATGCAACTCTCGCGCAGTGTAATTTTATTCTATACTAGCTGTGTCAGCGACTTCGTCCGAGTAGAATAGTTGTTTTGGACATCCAAATTTGATTTTACACGACATCGGTTGCGTCCCGTCCTTCTTGCGACTTCTTAAAAGATAGTCATATAGTGTCGGGGACATTTTTTCAAATTATTTAAAGAGGAAACATTTTCTATACATATTTTCGGGCTTTGGTAGCGTACGTATTGGAAATCCACAGAAATGAAAAAATCCCCCCGTTTTGTTCACATTTCCGCTGTATCTTCGCTTCTAGTCACAACGCGATGGCCTATCTCGATAAATTTTCTAACAAAATAAAAATAATTGTTCAATTCAAACCCGTAGTTCCTGAGATTAGCGCATACAAATAAACAAACTCTTCAGCTTTGTATATCAGTATAGATTTTCTTATTAAAACGATATTTGCAGGTCACGAAAATGAGACACAAAAACCACTCAAGCCGATGGAAGAAGTGAATTTGGCGTTAAAAGAATGTGGCTTCGGCAGATTTCATATACGTCTGTTGTTTACTTCTTTTTTGGGGCACACAGCCGGTGTTATAGCTTCAGCCACCACTCCTTACTTGCTACCGCTAGCGGAATGCGACCTGGACATGGACTTGTTGGAGAAGGGGGTTCTGAATGGAATGCCTTATGTGGGTAAGGGGGAAAATTGTATATTATTTTACGTTACAAGTGGGAAAAATATTAAAAACATCGATGTTTTGACGGGGCAAAATTAAACTTGAATTTGGTTAAGTTTTAAATTAATTTAAGATTAAGATATTCGTTCAAATTAATTATTCATTCGGCCTTAGTTTAGAAATTTATTCAAAATATTATATTTTATGAACTCCTATACTAGTTAGTTTAAATGTTTTTCTAATCAATATGATATAAAACTATGTTAGACACAATTATACAATTATTTTGTTTGTTCTTTACATATAATTTAGATATTTTTAATTAAAATCAATTGAACAAAATTATAGCAACATTGGTGTATATCGTTTTAATTCATTTGTGATAATGTTAATTTAATGACATATACTTGTTTTAGGTATGATGGTATCTTGCGTCGGCGCAGGTTTTTTAACGGACACGTTTGGTCGAAAAAAGTTTCTGCTTCTGGGACTTGGCGGACTATTTTTTTTCTCTGTTACTTCGGGCCTGAGCCAGAGTTACGAAATTTTAATCGCTTCGAAATTCTTCGAAGGGTTCTTGTTAGTATCTCATTATTTATTTTTAACACTCAACGGTATAAAACGTGAAATAATAGCTCAGTCTCGCGGAGGAATTTCACGTAACAATTAAATCTTTACAAAAGTAAATTCTAATGGAATGTTAATCCTGGAGGTTCTAAGTTTGATACTCGATTGTGAACCAAAATCTATATAGTTAAAAATATATTTGAAAAACGAGACTATCACATCAACACAATATAATACAATCTTTTTAAACCACATTTATTTACTACTTACACGTTTTTCGGCCTAATAGTAGCAATGTATGCCTAAAAACCAACGGGACGTAGGTTCGATGCGCCCAGGGTCTAACATGTTTCTTATAAATTCATATATTTTTATGAAACATATTGGACTACATACTGTCTATAGTTTACGCGAGTAGTACACATTTAAATAAAACACTTTAACGGTTTAAAACGGGATATATTAGTTAAACTTATCATATATAACTAATATATCGCGTTTTAAACCGTTAAAGTGTTTTATTGGAATATTGGACTACGTGTGGTAATCTGAATACGGTGGAACGGTCCAGGTTACGAACTACTGTCCACAGATGAAAAAGCTGTGAAGTTTAATCGCGTTGGTAGATTTCCGAATATCCAAAAACCAAAATAGGGCGACAGCGTATCGAGTTACATGTTATTTGGCTCCAGTATTTTACCTTTAAGCGAACCTTCTGCTAGTCTGTCCTGCTCTATCATAGAGAAATTTCATTCTTAATCTATGTTCTATGTTTTTCAGGTTTGCTATATCGTTCAGCCCTCTTCTAGCTCTGACGTCAGAGTTCTGCCACCCAGGAATAAGGGATAGGGTAATGCTCGTCCAATCATCGTTCATAGCGGTTGCACAGGTCGTGGTGGCTTTGAAGTCCTGGGGAATACTGACTTTTGATTGGAACGTCTCTTTCTTCGATGGCAGTTTTGGTAAGAATATGGGATTATATAAATTCGAAATAAACTCGCTAGCTCAATTGGTTAGAGGAACAGCACGGAACGCTGAGGATGCCGGTTCGAATCCTGCTGGAGTCGTTAATCTTTTTAATTTATCACCGATTCTTAAAGAAATATGTCCAAATAATACCACTTTAATACATGATCAATTGCTAAACGTTTTGCCTAGCTATTTAGTCATATAATGGTCTCGGGTTTAAATTCCGGGTCAACAATATTCTTTTTCGCTTGGGCAAGACACAGAAGTCTTAGGTACACTTTAGGAGTTTCAAAAGCACCGTAGAAGAATGGTGGTTTGTTTAGTGGTTCTGGTCGGTTGTTGTTTTCGAGGTTAACATAACCTCGAAAACAACAACCGCAGTCTCCACGTCAGGACACATTACCCTAACGACATTTCGTAAGACGAACGATACTATATAATATAAATTGCCATTTGTATATATTATATTGTATGGGACCACGTAAGTGATAACAATTTTAAATTACAGTTCCATTAAAATTCTTTTTAATTTATTGGATATCGTAATTGCAGTACTACACACTTGGAACTTCTACCTGCTAATATTTTCATCATGGGCTTTCCTGGCTACGGTTTTCTACGCGTTCCTGCCCGAAAGTCCGAAATATTTCGTCACACAGCACAAATATGATGAAGCTAGAGCGATTTTGGTTCAGGTGTATGAAGAGAACACGAGGAAACCTGCTGATACTTTTAAAGTAAGACTATTGTTATTGTATTGATAGTTAATTACGCAAATATTTTTGATTTTAAATTAATTTTGATTTTGGAAAAAGTAGCTAAATTATTGGTTATTAATTTTAAAGCTACCTTTGAGCTAAAAAATATATAAATCGCGGACGTCGTCTTTTGGTTTTTCTTAAGCTATTGATCGGCTAAAACATAAAATATATTACTTTACAAAATATAGTTAATCATATGTTTTACGTTTCAAACAGTTTAAAGTGTTTTATTTAGGTGTGACCTACTAGCGCAGACTACAGCCAATACTTCGCATATAAATAGAATCTTTGCTCTATAAAACTATTTGTAGTAAATTCTGTTTTAAGTCAAATATCTCATAAGTAGATGAACCTTCAACGGTTAAAAATGCGTAGTTTATTTATTTTTGAGCGAGACCAAACGATTGTTTTAAAACATGAAAAACCCGAAGCTACTATCATCTTAAAAAAATACTAATATGTACTACATTTCAAACCGATTTTTACCACAGCTAAGATAAACAATATCACATAGCTTCATAACTACAAGAATTGTTTGCTTAAAAGAATCTTCGCGTTTCCAGTACATTGATCTGTGGAAGAATAAATCGGAGTGCATTCCTGAAGCGAACAACGAAGATATGAAGAGCAAGCTTTGTACGGGATTTGAAAACATTAAGCCGATGTTTCGCAAACCGCTGTTATTCTATCTCATATTCTTTTGTTCTATAAACTTCTTCACGATGCAGCAGTAAGTTGTCGATTTCAAAGTTCTCTCCTAATTTAAATAAAACACTTTAAAACGCGATATATATGTTATTAGTTGAACTTATTTTAAACATTATTATAACTACAGCCCGACGTTTCGCAGCTTTGCCGGCAGCCGTGGGCGTAGGAGTGCAACCATGGCAGTTGAAATAAATTTTAGAATTTAATTAACTATATAGTTATATTTATATGCGTTGTACTACTCGTGGAAACTACAGGCAGCATTTCTTTCCTACTTTTTTAATGATAGTAGAACAGTAAATGTAGTACTTCACCCATGTTACATCTAAATAATATGTGCTGGCGATCTATTGTAGCTTTGGATATTCGGAAATCTACAGATTGAAACCGAAACGTGACTAAACTTGGCGGTTGGCATCTGTGGACGGTGGTTCGTGGACGCGGTGGAATTTCAATACAATTTACAAAAAATATTAATTAAAAGAATTTTGACCCGGAGGGGACTGAACCCACGATCAGTTTATTGTTAGGCGCACATTGCTGCTATTACACCAACGAACCTGTCAACTACTACTTTACAGGATTTGAACTGATTAACTAGAGGTATAAAATCCCGTTTTCCTTATACGTTTAGACATACGTTTCTGTGTCATTTCTAATTACCAATTCATACCCTAGTCCGGAAGATTTTTGACCAACTGAAACTAATATTTTTCCCGAACTTTCATCCCAAAGTCTCTTGCTTTTAACACAGCAGTTTTTACATGTAGATTATATTTTTAACTATATTTGTTTTAAACATTGAAAGTTATATAACTCGTGCGGTTTCAGAAACAATTTTCAAATGGCGGCGGTCAATCACTCGTCAATATATTTCGCGTTTTAAACCGTTCAAGTGTTTAATTTAAATAACCATGTATACATTTATTTTAAGATACAACGTGCTCCGTCTTTGGTTCCCTCAATTATCGACGATCGTCGAACACTACAGAGACGATGGAAATAAAGACCTTTGTGCCATGTTGGATACGTACACAGCTGATCTTCGAGACAGAACGACTAATGCTACTATTAACGTAGATTGTATCCCAGTAAGTACACGTTTACTGTTAAATCAATAACAATTACCTACAGTGTATCTACGAGTATAGAGAAGCGATCTTCTGAAATCTGGATTTTTTAATGGGTGGAAGGAATGTCGAAATTCCATCTGGATCACGTACCACCATCTACAGACGAAAAAGTCGAGATGTTTAGTTGCGATTCGGTTGCAGTCTTTGGATTTCCGAACCCCATGTCTGTATGTCGTGTTATGTGGTTCACATGAACACATTTGTATATAACCATATTTAAATGTGTAATGTCTACAGCTAGCTTGCGCAATAAACATATTTATTGTTTGGCTAATAAAGTGCGTAAGAAACTTGACGATAAAATTAGTACACGCTTACCCATTGGAGAATTTGGGAATTGATAGTAAATGTAAGTTTAGAGTTTTTACATGAATAAATGTTTTTTGATTTGATTCGACATAGTATATGACGAAAGGTGTTCCGTCTCTGAGGCTTAGGAAAGGATTCTTAAGCTGTCTCTCTCTCCTATCTTACTTAAGGTGAGCCTTCTAATGGTGAAAAATGTGTACTCTGCACAGTAGTTTTTGATTTTCCTCATTCCAAACATACACGCCCTTATAGTTCGGTAACCATTAATATACTGTGAAGGTTCTATGAAATATTTTCAGCACGAAAACCTTGTCACACGATATCTTGTAATAGTTATTCCGAATCGCAGGTACGCAGTGGTACAGAAACTTACGTAAACGCCATCATAATAGGCCTAGTCTGCTTTTTACCGAATGTCTTGACAAGTTTACTGGTGAAGAAAGTCGGGAAGAAGAATCTGTTGTTGGTGTGCGGTTTGATTTCCGTCGGGTGTACGATTGGGCTGCGATGGGCGATTACTAAGACCGATCTGGTGTCGTTGTATTCGACTGTGGTGGCTACAGCCAGAGCCATGATAAGTCTTACCCAGGCTATGGTCTTGGAGTACTTTCCTACAAGTGGAAGGTTAGTAAGTTATTCTCTGTTTTGTTAACTGAAGGGCACGTTGGTCTAATGGTGGCAATGTATTGCTAATAACCAACGGGTCGTGGATTCGATTCTCTTTTTTCTGGATCTTCTACGACTGTATCTGCATTGTATGGTAATTTCTGTCCGCATCACATTCTAATGTTAAATCGTGCTTCGGTTTATTCTGTAGATTTCTGAACTCCCAAAGCCCCAATAAGGACAGCTCATTTAGTTTGGATGTTATGTGGCTGGGGTATTTCGCCATCCAGGAAGTGGACCCCACCCTTCACTGTCTTTAACATAAAAAAAAACAGACAGACAAACATGCAAATAATTCGATAATAAAAGAGCCTCGACGGTAACTAGACATGGACGAACTACGAGTCCAAATTGAGGACTATAGCGGAGAATTAACGGATTTGGCTTTCTGAGCCTAGAACCCACTTTGGGTAGCTACGCCAGCGGAGTAATTATGAATTAAATAATAGTGCTCAAAGAAAACCACATAGTTTTCAGCAAATTGTTGATAGAATCATTTTATTTTACTATCGATTTGTCGACAATAACTCGACAACGCATCTTGTTGAGATGTTAAAAAGCTCCATCTACTACCTCATGTGTCTCTGTCGTCTTCTGTCATGATTACCAAACGCTGACAGCTGTACCCAGTTATCGAATCGTCGACTTCCCTATTGATCTGCAGTTGGTTTATTAATTCGCATTTTGTTTGCAGATCGTTAGCCATTGGTTTTATTATGATGTCTGGACGGACAGGGACATTAGTTGGGAACGTTATGTTTCCTATTCTTCTCAATATGGGATGCGTTGTGCCGTTCTTTACGTTAGCTGCTCTTTTACTTGGTTAGTATAAACGGGACACTTAATATTCACCATTATATTTAAATAAAACACTTACGGTTTAAAACGCAATATATTAGTTAAACTTATTTAAAAATTATTTTTAACGAATATATCATGTTTTAAACCGTTAAAGTGTTTTATTTGAATGTGTACTACTCGCGTAAACTATAGACAGTATTTGGTTGATTATATAGTGAAAAAAATTACGACTTGTGTAGGACTTAAAGCGGCGTCTACAGTGTTCTGTGCTCTCACCAGTTGAGCTACCCCGGCCTACATGTCTTTGTCAATTTTTTTAACCTATCGATACATGCACCTCTCGTGCAATGTAATATCAACCTTAACTCTTGTGCGTTAAGGTTTGAAGTCATTTTTTTTTCAATCTAATATCAATTTTAAATTTATATAGTGCCATCGTGAGAATAACATGTGAAAAATCTTAAAGTTATCAAAGAATAATTAGTTTTAATATAATGCAGATAAGCTTTCATAAATTATAGTCCTATTTAAAATCGATTAAATGTTTGTGTCGAAGAAATAACCGTAATAATAAAATAAATAAGTAATAAAATTTTAATAAAACACTTGTAATGATTTCGATACGTCGGATCGTAAAATAACTTAACAAATATATTTCTAAGACTTGGTAGCTCAATTGGTTAGAGCAACAGCACGGAACCCTGCGGATGCCGATTCAAAACCTGCTGGAGTCGTAGTTTTTTTTATAATACCTAAATTATAATTCCCAAACGAAAGTACACATTATTATTTTAAATTTTGGTGGGTATGAATCATAGAAAGAAATAAATTTTAGTTTTATCTCTTTCAGGTATCACCTCATTAGCTTTATTTTTGCCAGCTAAGGAAAAATGATGTTAATTATGTTATTTATATTATTAAAATATACATCAAAGTTACGAACAACGAAATGTGTGGTTATGTATTTACTTTGTACTCATTTTTAACAGTATTCTGTAATACTGTTGTTAGATCTTTTGTCGTTATAGATTTTAGCAATATTATAATTTTTTAACAGTCTATTGAAAGAAAATGAACGAACGTTGATTTTTTTTTATACCTACGATGTTAAACAAAGCATAATTCAATCACAAGTAATTAAATTAAATACTTTTACGGATATCAATGTTTTTTGGATTTATACCGAGGCACAGTGCTCGCCCAAAAGGAATGAATGGTAATGAATTTGAAAATGTTTGTACTTAAAAATAGTCTGTAGTTACGCGAGTGGGTAATACATTTTTTTTTGTGGTAAAGGAGAACAGACACCATGGGATTTACATGATGGTAGATATCCCAGCCACATTATATCTAAGCAAGATTCGCTGTTAGCCTATATTGGGCTTGGATATTAGGATGGTTCGTAACGCAGACAAAATGACGATATGTCTATCACTTGTTTTAAATCCAGGATTTATAGACGAAGACCAATATATTTTAGAAAAATTAGAATTAGAACCTCTGACCCTACATTGTTACCATTACAGCAACGAGCCAGTCAAACACATTTAAATTAAACACTTTTAACAGTTTAAAACGCGTAACAGTCAACTTACTTTTAAATTAACTTATCTATCGTCGTTTCAGATGCTTTGCAACAGCCGCGGCGCGATAGAAAAACCGAATAGCTTTTTAAAATAACACTTCGTAAGTTAAATAACATCGACAAACAATATCACTTAACTAAGTAAGCCCGTTTTAACTTAGAAGTGCAGAAAATCGATGTCAAGTCTCATAACAGTAATTAAGTTCAATTAGATCGTACACATCTCCGGGCACTCGAGGAAAGAATTCTCCACATCTGTTGGATATTTTTCTCTTTCCCGCCCGCATTTTACAGTTTTCTCTTATTGTCTCTTGATACACGGAAAACCAGTTATGTCTAGCATTTGTAGGCACTAAGTACTTTATTATTTTTTTATCCCTATCACCGTATATTTATAATTTTTAATGACAGAAGAGTATAGACGACCATCTCAAAAAAGTCCAAAGTAAAAAATCATTTATTCAATTAATGTAGGTAACTATGTACACTTATGAACGTCACAAAATAATTAAAGAATCTAACTTTACATTTACTACCAGTTCTCAAATCAAGGTCGTAGAACGAACGAGAAGAACTGGCAATAAACTCGCCGTCACTCCTTTTATCGCCAAGTTTCATTTTACATTCTTCCTGTACATTTTGTACACTACATAATTTTCCTTGTAAGAGCGGGTTCCTCCACACCGCGAGCATTTTTATCATTTAAATATTGATTAACGTCATTATAGCCCTTTCCAAGCAGTTATAGCAGTTATAGTTATATTAAAGTATCGTATGCCGTTACCTTGAAAAGAACTACTACGTCTATGGAGCCTTTTGGTCGGTACACTTATTTCGTCCTCATTACGTAGTGTACTGAAAGCTGCCGTTTGTTTTAAAAGTATCTACGTTTTTCCTCAAATAAAAAACATTTTCAGAGATATATTGACTTGCCAGCGTTAGGATATTCAAAGCTTTGAACTTATATAGAACAGACTCCCGTACGGAAAGACCAAAAATCGCTCGAATAGCCCGTTTCTGCAAAACAATGCAAACATGATGTACACGTATATATAACATCTAAACAAGACTCGCTGTCGACTTATCTTGGCTTAAGACACGCCTGAAACTGAAACGCGATTAAACTTCGCTGTTTTTCGTTGCACGTTGGTTTGTGACCCGGACGAAAGTGAAGTCTAGACGAAGTCCAGCATGTTTCAAAAAAAAAACTGATTAGAATCGGTGGCGATCGAATCCGCGATCCCTTGATACTTCTACAAGTAGACCGACGCAATGAGCCGATCAATAGTAGGGGGGATTAAGATTTTATTTGCAAAAACAATGCAATGCAAACAACAAAGTAAATGATATATAATCTATAGTTCTAGTTCTTAAAGTTTTGCGAACCATAGATAACATCAAGACTAAAAAGTATTTATAGAAATCAAAAAGTATAAACTGATATGTAGTCTGTGGCATGTGTGTCACCTTGTTTGTCATCAAACCTCTATATTATTATTTATTTTATTGGCGAATATAAAACGTATAAGAAAACTGTCTATATAATTATAACATTACAACACGATCAGCTGTTTTGCGTGTTATTTTTGTCTTATCTAAAAATAACAAAAAGCAAACCAGTATAAATTGATCTACACAATCGTGAAGTTTCACACTGATTCGCTCATTGTGGAGTTCAAGATAAAATTGCTGTTTAAGGCCCCCAAGGCCACTACGATAGTAATAAGACATAAGTGATTCTGTGAGTAGTCGTTTTATAGGCATGTAAGATGCGTGCAGTGATGTCGAAATGAGTGACATCAATTTGAAGGCACTGCAAGGAACATGTAAGTAGAAAAATCTTTCTTATCTAAAGTGTATTACTTCAGCCATATGACATCTAAACAAGATGCGTTGTCGGCCTATTTTGGCTTTGGATATTCGGAAATCCCTTATCTTCTCTAATTGCACACTGAAACATTTAACAGTTCACGTTTAGGGTTCCTTATATGAGACGGGAAGTGATATGAACAGCCGCCTTTAGTAGGTTAATCATGGGAACCAAAAAGAATGATTCCTGGAGAAAAATAAATCGTTTCGTCTGCTCGTGCAGACAAGCTTATTTTAAAATAAAACAGATGCGTGAAACGAACACAAAAATATGGTCACCCCATGTCCAAAACGGGGATTGCACTATACTTAATACATAGAACTGAAGAGTTGTTTTTTTTTTGTTTGAACGCGCTAATCTCAAGAATTACTGGTTCGAATTGAACATTTTTTGCGATCTATCTAATAGGAGCGAATAAACTGCGGGAAGAGTGAAAAAATCGAGAGAATCATTTATCCTTGTGGATTTCCGTTACGTACAGTACGAGTACATAGCTTAAAGAGGAGGGTTGCAAAAATGTTGATGCCCAAAATGACTATTCAACGCAGACACAGTCGCTGGCGCAGCTAGTATTCATATATACCATAAGTAAATAAGTATTTTTATTCGCAGCAAACAATGAGGCTAAGAAAACTCCGAGTGCCATGGACGAAGTCAATTCTGCCTTGCAAGAATGTGGCTTCGGCTGGTTTCACGTGAGGCTACTCATAACAGCATACATTGGGTATACTTCTGGCGTCGCCCTGGCCATGACGACGCCGTTCGTCCTGCCGATAGCTGAATGCGATCTGGACATGACATTGTTGCAAAAGGGCGTTTTAAATGCGATACCATATGTAGGTGAGGAAACCATCGATTTTTTTATGTGAAAGGAAAACAGATAAGCATGAGGTCGATGGAAGGTGAAATACCCCCGTATAATATCAAAATAAGATATGCTGTCGACTTATTGCGGCTTTGGATATCGAATAAATATTAACTTTCGCGTATGTTACAAATAAAACACTTTTAAAACTGGTTGAAACGCGATATATAGGTAGAACGTTGTACCAAATGAATGTGTTAAATTTCTTGTAGGTACGAAATGGTGGTAGTCAATTTGTGTTTGGCTGGAAATTTTGATAGGTGGTGGTAGAAATGAAGAAATTCCATCCGAGTCACAAACTACCGTTTACAGATGGAAAGACAAAAGATGCCCAAAACCAAAATAGATCGACAGTACATCTTGTCTTGTTGTTATATGGTATATTTAACTTTTCATCTCGTGAAGCGCATATGTCTCTATTTCCCGTAACATATAAGAAATAAACAAAGTATGTAAAACAAAATGATACTGTCTGTAGTTTACGCGAGTAGTACACATATAAATAAAACACTTTAACCTTTAATGTGTTATAATTAAAATACATCGCGTTTTAAACCGTTGTAGTGTTCTATTTAAACAAAATGATATTTTGAAAAACAAAATAATTGTGTAAATAAATGATATTTTTTTTATCTCCCTCAAAAGAATTCTTCGATGACTTTCATTAAATATGACAAATACCATATACCAGTAGCGTGCTATCACTTGGTCGATATTAGTTTAGGAATTAACACGTTTAGCAGTACATACAAATAATGATATGTAATTCAAATAGTACTTTTAATATCTTGATTCTCTTAGAATTTTAATAAGAGTAAGAGAATAAATCCCTGTTAAACTAACAGGAATTTATTTATATGTATTAATAATGTCAAAAGTGCTTACGACTATACAGCGGACCACGATCCCACATGTCGCAATAATGTGAACTAATATATTTCGCGTTTTGACCTGTTAATATTTATATTTAAATTAACCCAAGATACTGTCTATAGTTTACGCGAGTAGTACACATTTAAATAAAACACTTTAACGGTTTAAAACGTGATATATTAGTTGCAGTTGCAGCCGTGACCACGGCTGCTGCAAAGCATCCGAAACGTTGGGCCGAAGTTAAAAATCATTGTCAAATAAGTTTAACTAATATATCGCGTTTTAAACCGTTAAACCCAACAGCATAATCCTACCATACGCTTGACTTCGGAGTGCGCCATATTATAATCATCACTCTATTGCGGTTATTTACTTTTAAATCTTGAAACAAGGTCTTATAGGCATTAGTAGACAAATTTTTTGTTGTTTTTTTTTATGCTACAGACAAGCATAGCGGTCGCTTCATGGTAAGTCAAAGTCCGTACATTGCTACGAGCCCGCCATTCTTCTTTTAACTTTAAAAACTTTGAGTCTTCATTTTTATGATCATAAAATGTAGTAATTAAGAATAAGTAATCCAAGTCCCTTCTGACCAGGGACGGAGATACCCAGAAGTCCTTAGCTGGTAATCTACTATGGAGAGAATAAATGAAAAATGATTTCCAGGTATGATCGTGTCGTCTGCTATAGCTGGTTTCCTGACAGACACATTTGGCAGAAAGAAGTTTTTAGTCTATGGTTTTGGAGGACTGTTCGTGTTCACTATAATATCTGGCTTGAGCCAACGATATGGTGTACTGGTTACTTCCAAGTTTTTCGAAGGTTTTATGCAAGTATTTAATTTTTTAAAATCTTCTTTAAAGATAGTACTAATTTTGTTAATTTAGTAGAAAAATGTGTTTTATATGGACTATTATACATAAATATAATAAAACGCTTTTAAAACATATTTCTCATGTTAGTAACCTTTTTTTATTTCAATTAACTATGCCCGAAGTTTTGAATGATTTACAGCGGGACGATGTCGTTAAATTTAAATAAAAATAAGTTGACTTATATCTGTCGCGTTTTAATCAGTTAAAAGTATTTTATTTAAATGTGTATTACTCACGAAAACTACAGACTATAATATACATATATTGAATAATGTAGTAGCAAGTTGATGTTGTTCTTATTTTAATAAATCCCAATATTAAACGACTTTTACTGGTTTAAAACACGCTCTATTAAGACAATAAGTTTTTTATAATACCTTTCGACGCAGACGCAGATAATCTCTTGCGAGTATAAAAAAAATGTCACTATTAATCTATTAAACTTCAGCTTCGAACTAAATACTTAGTTTTGTTAAAACGTCTGGAATTCGAACCCACGACCATACTACTTATGTAACTACTTTGTCTTCAAGACAAAAACGTAAATTCGATTTTCGAGTACTGAAAAATCATTTTCAGTACTTCATACATTCCGTTTGTTTTCAGATTTGCAGCTTCCTTCAGCCCCCTCATGACTCTGACTTCAGAGATGTGTCACAGCGGGATTAGAGATAGGGTGATGCTGGTCCAGACTTCCTTTGTGGCTATCGGACAGGTCTCTGTGGCTTTGTTGTCATGGGCTATTCTTACGCAGAATTGGAGGGACGTGCTGTTCGGTGGCTCTCTTGGTAAGTGATTAAAAGTCACATTTAACCAGAAATAAGGTTTTTAATGATAGAGTTAGAGATATTTGTTTATGATAAAATATGCCAACATCTGAACAAGATGCCCTATCGACCTGTGCTGGCTTCGGACGTTCGGAAATCCATCGCTTGAAACCGAAACGCGATTTAACTCGATTTTTTTATCCGGTGACGGTGGTTCGTGACCCGGATGGGATATGACTACGACATTTAATATTCAGATTTCCAAACTAAATCAAAGATTAGGTCTCGGGAGGTCAATTGGTAGAGCAACAGCACGGAACGCTGACGATGCCGGTTCAGATCCTGCCTGAGTCGAAATTTGGTTTCAATTTATTTTCGATTTTTAAATCGCATCAAAGATGTTCCAGATACATTGATTAAAGATATGTTAAATCCTGTGGGGATCGAACTATCAATCATTAATTATTATTAGTCACCTTATATTAGTACCATAGTAGACCTTTAGAGTTACAGGCCAATTAGTTAGGTCCCGTACTGTATAATTTTCACCCAAGTATTGTCTGCAAAGTATACGCAAAGTACACGCTTAAATAAAACATTTTTAACGGTTTAAAACATGAAGTACATTGGTTAATTTTATTTAACTATGGCCTGACGTTTCGAATGCTTTGCAGCAGCTGTGGTCGCGGGGAGATTGAAGGTGGAGGTAGATTTGGTTTTATTAAGGTTAACTGATATATGTCGCGTTTTAAAAAGTTTAAAGAGGTCGTTACACTAGACCTTACTCTTTTATCTTTTTTTCTTTTAGTCCTCAACATATGGAATTATTATCTCCTACTGATGTCATTGTGGTCCTTCTGTGCGTGTTTCCTATACATGCTCATTCCGGAGAGTCCAAAATACTACGTCACCCAGCACAATTACGAAGCAGCAAGGTCCGTTTTACTGTACATATACACGACGAACACGGGCAAAACTAGCGACAGTTTCAAGGTGAGCTGTTAGAATAGAACAGAAATAAGTGTATTAAAAAAAGAACACAAAATTGACTATAAAAGACCCAAATAACTAATTTACTAAAACAACAAGAGAAAAAGTAAATACAAAGTTGCTTTTTCAAATTAGACCATTCAGCTACGTTGGGTCTGACCCAACACTGACATGCAGTGGCTCAATGCCTGTTAGTAGTAGATTATATAAGATTGAGAAATAACTACGGCACGGCCGGGACTCGAACCGGCATCCACAACGATCCGCGCGACTCACAATTTGTGTTTTCTATTATTTTTGTTCTTTTTTATAAAATTTTATATAAATATGAAACGAACATACAAATTAAAGCTTAGAATTTGTTTATTAAAAGGCCTACAGCAGATAATGAAATACAACTACAAATAGTAATAAAAGCCTATAAAAATACTTCTTAAATTATTTTCGAAAGATTAAAAAAAAGGACACAATAGCTCACTTGGTTACAGCAACACGGAACGCCTTGGATGCCCGTTCGAGTACTGCCAGTGTTGTATTTTTTTCAATCCGCATAGATTTGTATTTATATGAAGAACAGTTAAGTTATAACAAAAAGGTTTTAAATAAGACACTTTAACGGTTTAAAGCGCGATATATTAGTTAATTCGGATGAAAAGAAACGTGGGGCCGTAGTTAAAAATCATTATCAAATAAGTTTAACTAATATATCGCGTTTTATACCGTTAAAGTGTTTTATTTAAATGTGTACTACTATCTCTGTATGTGTACTCTATCTTGTAAAAAGATTTTTTTACAAGATAGAGATATTGATGAGATAGTGGTTTGGTAAATAATTTTCGAGAAATTGGCTTTAATTGTAAAAAATGCATCCCAAGTTTTCTGTGCCCCACAAACCCTCTTAACTACTAATAGAATACTGCTGTCCCAACCTCGCGATCTTGGTAAGGGCGGATGGATCAATTAATTATGAATGGGCCACTTAGCAAACGAGCCATAAACAAGATGGATAGGCACCATCAAGGTGAAAGCCCAAAAAGAAATCCGGGAAACGGGTTTTTCTATAATAATTACCCTCAAAAGTTCGCTCGCATAACTTTAAATGATAGAGACAGGCATGGCTTGGGGTTCTATTGATGGTAGGTGATATCCAAACAAGATGCTGTGCCGATTTATTTTGGCTTTGGATATTCGGAAATCAACAGACTTAAACCGAAACGCGATTAAGCTTAACGGCTTTTCCATCACTTTTAAATTAAGCTAAATTAAACTGTTTATGAAAGCCGTGTCAACGATTTTCCTCCTGATTAAATCAATATTTGTCTTTTAGCACATAAATCTATGGACGGACAGGATAAAACGCATGGACGAGGCCCCGGAAGCAGTACACAAAAGCCAATTGTCAGCTGGCTGTGAGAATATCAAACCCCTGTTTCAGAAGCCTTTAATTTTGTATCTCTCGCTGCTCTGTTTCATTAACTTCTTCACAATGACCCAGTGAGTTGAAAGCTTATCTTGACATCGAATTAAAAACGAGACATGGTAACTATGGTAACGGTGGTGTGGTTATAACATTAGGTCCCAAATTTACATGCTCTTGTTTAATCTTGTCTCCCAGATCGATTTTATTGGCAAGAACTAACTACCATACTCTATCAAAACAATGAAGGACTTATCTTAATGACGTTATATGAAATTGGTTTTAAAAGCCCTGAGTTCTAACTCCCGGGAAACAATTTTTTGGTTAGTGCCTTGGTCTAGTGGAGGTCATGATGACTTGACTGTAAGTTGAATCGATCAGAGATACAATGCACTATTCTAGCCATAACCTAATGTATTATTTTTAATCTATTTATTTAAATGAATACTGTAAGTTAACTCGACTTAATTTTAAGTAGTAATGTGTTTATTATCGAAATCAAGTTGATCTAAGTAAAACATTTTTAACGATTTAAAATGTTAAATATATTAATTAAGTTATTTTTAATTTCATTTAAGTGCGACGAGATGTTTTGAATTCCAACTAAGGTTGCGGGGGTGTTAATCACGGCTTACGAGGGAAATATAAGTTAAAAAATATATATCGCGTTATAAACTGTTAAGTGTTTTATTTAAATGTGTAGTACTCGCTTAGACTTCAGACAATACTTATTTCTAATATAAAATACAATTTTTGAGATAACATGTCATTAAAGTTTAAAGAGGGTAGTCAGAAAATCCAAAGTAGATCGCAAAACAAATCACTCAAGGGGTCCAGTTTACTCGAGCCGATTTCAAAAGGGAATCTAAACAGTATATTAAAAGTCGCTTTTCTCCGCCCTATGTAGGGCAGAATCTTTATTAGACTTATCTATTATGTATGAGGCGCCCCGCAAAGACTACTTCTTCGTATCTGTGGGTTTGATACATCAAGATTTAGACGTTGAGTCAGTTGACAATCGGCTGTGGGTTCGTATTGTGAAATCGGTTTTTTCTTTTTCTGTCTACCCTCATAACTGTATATTTTTTATTTAATATCATCATCGAGCACCAATAGCTAAATAACGTGTCTATTTATTTATTAGGATTTAGCAAGACATAAAATAAAACTTTAACGGTTTTAAACGCAATATATATATTAGGTAAACATATTTGAAAATTATTTTAACTACTGCTTCGCAGTACTTAGCTGAAATGTTTTATGTTATTTTCAAATTAGTTTAAATAATATATATTGCGTTTTATAGCGTTAAAGTATTGTATTTAAATGTGTACTTGTCGCGCCATATGAGAACACAGACTGCACACGAAATGCGATTGAACTCCAGGGCCTTTTTATCTTTGGACGGTCGTTCGAGACCCGGACGGAAGACTCGATATCACCACCACTCATTTAATATCCAAATTTCCAGACGTTTTACATGTTTCAGTAAAATTCTAAGATAAAAAAAAAAATTGAAACTGTCATTTTTATCTGTCCGTCTCCCCAAGCTCTCACCATCGCGGTGGTCTAAGCCGAGGCCGATAACCCCTTTGGGACACTCTTTATCTAGCCGCAAAAACGACCAGTTAACGTTAGAGGCCCCGAGCCAAAATTCTATTTAAAAAAAGAACATAAGTTATTTTAAATACTGTCTGTAGCATACGCGAGTAGTACACATTTGAATATAACATTTTAACAATTTAAAATGTCGTAGTAAAATAATTTTATAATATATTTCGCGTTTTAAACCGTTACAGTGTTTCATTTAAAGGTTCTCCTTATTGTACGAATTACAACGAAATGTGAGTCGTGCAAAATTGTGTAGCATGTTATTTGTACGAAATGTTTGAAATCGCACAAAGCATGATTGATGATGATGGAGCGTTTTTATTTGGTGTTCAGGTACAACGTGCTCAGGCTGTGGTTCCCACAGTTGTCGACGATAGTGGAGCACTATCGCTCTAACAGCACGCAGGACTTGTGCCAAATGCTGGATACATACACGCGCGACCTTCGAGAGAAGGCTAAAACTACCGTCGATGAAGTTTGTATACCGGTACGTACGTTAGGGCTCCGTTAGTATTTGGAACTTTGCTTAGATTTCTTTTATTGTCTGTAGTTTACGCGGATAGAATATATTTAAGTAGCACTTTTAACAGCTTAAAATGCCAAATATATTAGTTAAAGTTTTAATATATACAATAGCCTTGAATGTCTCAAAATAAAGAAACATAGTTATAATTAAGTATATTCTGATATCAAAAATTAATTTTTAATAGTTAAAAATAAATGCCAATAGTTTACGTGGCCTTAACTTAATATCGGAATAGTGATGGGTCGAAGCTCTTAAATTCAAGCTTATATGAGAGGAGGGTTACAAGGTAACTTGATGCCGGTTCAAGTTGATGACGTTCCCACCCGTTTCGTAGTTTTTTTTTAAATTTAAATAGATTATCTTATTTACGAAGATAACTAATATTTTAGTTACTCCAAAGTATAGTGTTTTTGTAGGAACAAAGATATTTCAAATACAATTTTTCATACCCTACCGATCTTAAAATATGGCATTATTAAATTGTTTGCATTTCTTAATGTACCTTGGCGAGAAGAGAAGTGATGGCGAGTTTCTTGCCAGTTCTTTTAATTCGTTCTACGCGATTGATTTGAGAAATGGTAATAAATTTTAATTTAAAGCCTTTCGTTATCACCTGTCCTTATAATGTTTTCAGGTACGTAGCGGACACGAAACATATCGAAATTCAGTTATCCTTGGCTCCATTTGTGTCATCCCCTTTATCCTCACGAGCATCCTCGTGAATAGAGTGGGGAAGAAGAATCTCTTCATAGTGTGCGGTTTAATATCAGTCGGGTGCACTATTGCTCTGCGATGGACAAGCAGCAAAACTTCTCTCGTATCTCTCTTCTCCGTCGATGTTTCTTCCGCACAAACAATGCTTAGTTTGACACAGGCAATGGTGGTAGAGTTGTTCCCTACTAGTTTTAGGTAAGTAGCTTAAGAAAAATTCCGTAAGCCTCGTGGGGCATTTCAAAATATTTCTGTATTAGTTTTACTGAGCGATTTTATTTGAAGGCCTGACCAAGACCAATTGATCATTTCCCCAAGTTTCAAACCCATGACCTCCTATTTAATTAGTCAATCCTAGGTTAGCCTAGGCAACCCAATTGTATTCGAAAGCGACGTTGCGTTTAAAACGTCGGTTCATAGTTTAAAATAGCTTAACGATTATATTACGTGTTTTAAACCGTTTTGGTATATAATTATTAATTATAATTACAGGTCTTTGTCCATGGGTTTAGTGATGATGTCTGGACGGACCGGTTCCCTCGTGGGTAACATAATGTTCCCCATACTTTTAAACTTGGGGTGTGTTGTGCCATTTTTCACGTTAGCTACTTTGATGTTGGGTAAGCGGACTACAAAGTTAACCTAGCTAGTAGTTAGCTAGTAGTATAGTAGTGAATAATGGTGATATCTCATTCCAGGAATCACGGCACTCTCGCTGTTTTTACCAACGAAGAAAAACTAGATTTAAGAATTTAGCTAATGTAATTATTCCTTTAAATAAAACTTTTAACTGTTTACAACGCGAAATGTATTAGTCATAAACAATTTGTTTTCACTATGGTCCTACAACGTTATATATCCCTGTAAACGTTATTCCCTTGTGTCGGGCCGTTATTAAAATAAAGTAAAAAAAAAACACTTCTAACTATTTAAAACGCGAAATATATCGTTAAAATAATTTATAAATATGTTTTACTAATATGATTCGCGTTGTAAAAAGTTGAGTGTACCTACTACCTACTCGCAAAAACTACAGACATAATAATTAGTTTTAAACTGTTAAAAATGTTTTATTATACTGTAAATATCCTTTGTTAATCAATAAATAAGTATTATTAACAATATGCTCTTTATTTCCTTCAAATTAAACAAAAACTCAATCTTGAAGTATCTTAAAAACTTCAGTTTACAAATATTACCTTCCAAAACCACAATTTCCCTTCTTTTTACAAGAATCCCTCTTCCACCACCTACCTATTTGTTTAGTATTGTATAGTATTTGTTTGCTGAAGAGATCGCTGTTTGATGATAAAGCCGCCTTTTACTTATAAGCTAGTTCTTAAGTGTAATTAAAACATTTTATCGGTTTAAAACACGAAATATATTAGATAATTATGGCTCGACGTTTCAGATGCTATGCAGCAGTACGGGGAAACTCCGGGGCTGTAGTTAAATTAAAGAAAATTAATATTTCGCGTTTAAAACCGTTAAAAGTAATTGAAATGTGTACTACTCGCGTAAACTACAGACAGTATCTTCATCCAATCCAGATGTAGTGGTTCTTAAGATACAAACTGGTCATAGACACAAGTAATATATTTCAGTTAACTTGCAACAGCCGTAATCACGGTTTTTAAACCGTCAAACGAGTTTTATTTAAATAGTAACTAAGCACTTCAAAAAAAAAAGTCCAACTACCGTTTGGCAGTCTAGTTTCCATATATTTTTCTTACGGAACGGAAACTTCTACATCTTCGGAAGATTCAATCATTTGAATACCAAATATACGCACTTGGCTCAGCCTTGGAGCAATAAAATCGTAACCACATAAACTGTGAACTGCACAAACACTCGACGCAATAAACTACAGACACTGAGGACTTAATTAAGTTTGCACGTTCTTGCTTACATGGCAAGAATTAATCTAATAATTCTTGACTTTTAAGGAAAGATTAAATGCATAGTGACATTTTGATGGATGTGGGGCAGCCCCTTTTCTTCTAAAATAAATATCTCTGACGATACTATTGGGTAACTAGTAAATATAAAGAACTAATTTTGTATTCGATCTTTTGTCCTTAGTTTATGGATTTACATTTTTAATTCCACTTCAAACGGTTTAAAAAGCGAAATATTCACTACTTCTACATTCGTTTGAACAAGAAACGCATGGCGTTAGCAACAAAATTATATTTTGACATTAGGGTCGCCGATCATCTTTGGTACTACACCATGGTAGTCGTAAAGAACCGAAGAAAATATTTCGCGTTTTATTTATATGCGTTTTCCATACTAAAGCAGCGTGGTGGGTCAAAATATTTGAGCCCACACTTCTATAACAGAGAACACATGCGCCCAGCGGTGGAACAATACGTCGTTACAATTCCTCTACTTATTTTCAAAGAAAGTAACACTGTTCTTACCATTACTGTAGTTACTAAATATAACTTACATTGTAAGCGAAAATGTCCCTCTAGAATTTTTTGCCACGAAACACTCCGTTATTATCGCAAAGTATAAAATGTATTTACCGCGAAGCCGTCTCTATAGAATTGAGTTTTGTAAGCTCCATCAGACCGTATTACATGGGCACAGTTTAGATTTTAACAGTTTCAGTAACAGACGTCAAGTATTTTAATGAGTGGTTTTATACCGTGACTACAGCTGCTGTAAAATATAGAAACGTCGAGTCGTAGTAAAAAATAAATTAAAATAATATATTTCGCGTTTTAAACCGTCACAAGTATTTGACAAAAGTTGTGTATAAACTAGCTAAACTAAGGGGAATCTCATATGAAACACACTTGTTTTCTGTGCTATATTATTTATTTTTTTATAATAAAGAAAAAAATATATTTTATAAAATAAACACGTTCTTCAAAAGCTTTTTAAAAGTAGACATTAAATTTTCAAAATACTCGATTTGTTACCTACAAAATATCAGATTTAATAATTAATCATTTAATTAATATATTAACACACATTTTTATACTATACATCTATGATTTATATGTATAACGCATAAGATTAATCTAACATATTTATTTTCTGTCACATTATAAATAATAAGAGGTTATTCGGTATTATTGTCTTGTAACTCATTTCGAGCCTCTTTCTGATATCGGACGAGAGTATGAGATTTTATCAGAAACATTTTTATGAATAACGGATTTCCGTTTGAACTGGCCTTTATAGGACCTTTCTTATATTACCCTATTTAGACTACAGATAAAGTAAAGTTATACCAGATAGGAATCGAACTCACTCATTGCTATAAATAATGTAATGAAATAAGCGTTGTCCCAAAACCCGTTTTTCGAATTGACCCGACGTCGAGTCAAATTGCATCGCTAAAATTTGAGCCACGTCTCAGCAAAATAATACCTGCGCTTCGTATTAATTAAAATATCGCAACTCGTTGCGAATTGTGGGTTATTTTAAAACAAAAGCAAATTTATATTCAGCTTCGTTCAAAGTTGGTCGGGTCGGTTGCCGTACAACTAAACAATTTACAAAGTTGTCGCCGCCTCCGAAGTTCCAGTAATTGCTTTATCGCGGAGTTATGACAAAAAAATTAACAATTTATAATTTATGCATCTAGCGACGGGTTTAACGCGCTGTATTAGTTTATATATATATATATATATATATTTGATAGAAAAGCGGTATTTCCATTCTACTCAGTAACAGAAACGAAACATACAAAATTGGGCAAATGTTGGACAATCTCTTCATAGCTGTCTCAAGTTGGACCCTTGTTCATAATTCCGAACAATTAAAATGGTATTTCCGTAATGGTATTGTAGACATTTTTCACAAATAATTGATACTAAAATTATTTTTTAACATATACAGCTTTCATTACTGTCTATAGTTTACGCGAGCAGTACACATAAATAAAATTTAAATAAAACACTTTAACGGTTTAAAACGCGATATATTAGTTAAACTTATTTGAAAATTATTTTTAGTTTCGCCAAATACCAACTTCGACGAACAGATGGCGCTAGCGTAGCAATTTTTTACTTTGACGGAAACTATAGATACCTACGTTATTTTAGTTTTTATACGATGAAAGCGTAAAAGAAAAATGCGGTTGAATACTTTTCGCATGGGTTTTCCTCTCACGCAAAAAGTCACATACCACTTCATTTGTTGGAGCAAGATGTTGGGGGAACAAAAAATGCTGTATGGTGATAACTTAATTTGTATCTTAACATAGTTTATAGGATATGTTACTGATGGGATTTTGATAAAGTAAATACAACCACAAACACGCATTTATAGTTCACCGTCACCGACAATTATATAGAAATACATTTTTATTTAGGGAAAGACATAATTCTGGCCACGAGCATATGATACCGTTCCAGTAATTGTTTCATATTAATTATGTTTTCATGAACTTTCGAATTACGAACATTGTAATTCATAAAAGTGAAGAATGATTTTGGCAAATATTCGGTGTTCAGTTAGTATATTATCTGCTTTACAAAAATTTGTAGCAAGTTTTACTCCTTCCGTGGCCATGGCAAAGTATCCGAGAATGTTAAATGAATAAAAAATAAGTTAACTCATATGTCTAATGTTGAAACCCGTTATAACTGTGTTATTTCAAAGTCTCGGCATTACACACGGTATTAATGACATGTGAGTTTTGAAATGGAAGAAATATTATTACGACTAGGATTAAAACTACTCAATCTTTTAATTACGTACAGTAAAATAGGTCTGGACTATATTACGCCAATAAAAAGGACGGCAACCCATAATTTCATTTGACACTATCGCACTGTTCGCAAAACAAATAGTGTTTTACGTACACTCGGGAGTTAGATAAAAATAAAAGGCACAGTCGTCACAAAAGTCGCTATTCAGGATTTGTCTCGTTATTTCCATCTTGACAATGTTCCCTTCGGGTGAATAACTTAAAGACTCAAGGACCTCCCTTGGTTCCTGTATTTATCATAGATGGCAGTCGCCGTTCCATTCTATTCATTAGTACAAGATGGCGGAAGCACTTAGCGCGATTTGAAATTGGAATTGTTAACTTTTTTATGACTGGACTATAAATAAACTTCTGGTTATTACAGTGCAAAGTGTATCCGCACTGTGTACGGTCCCCGAACATGGTCTCCTACCGCGAGCATAATGCATAGACCACTCGCACCTTAGCGTGTTATAAAAAGGGTTACTCAGTCTCTTTGGGTGCTCGAATCAGAAATGAAGAGATTCGTAGAAGAACTAAAGTCTGAAGAACTGTAATGGAGACCACGGAGGCGAAAACCTGGACGACCTTCTGCCAAGTGGACAGACCTAGCCAAGGTAGAATACGCGAGATTAAAAGCGAGCCACCGGTCGTGTTGTAAGTATTTGGGGGAGACTTAGATCCAGCTGTGGACTACTAAAGCAGACAAATTTAATTTTTTCACATGCACATCTTATGTTTTAACTTTTGTGTCCTGGTATAAAAATTTATTTATATTACTAAAGCAACTCAACAATGCGTTACTAAAAATATTTGGACATCTCTCTTACAAAACCTCAATATTCTTGATAGCATTTATTCGTTTACACAGAATAAAATATATGTAAGATCATATGTTTCTACGTGTATCCAGTAAGGCAAATATTTACAGTCTTTGAACTTTGAAGTTAAATCGAGAATTGCACTGTTTAATCTATACTAATATATAAAGCTGAAGAGTTTGTTTGATTGAACGCGCTAATCTCAGGAACTAA